TAGAATGTTCAGCTGTACTGAAGGGGTTTTGCTTCCCTAAGTGCTGCAGCCCCACAGCAGCATGCTGTCCTTACTGTACATGCATTGTGTGTGTAAGTCCTCCTGAAATGTGTCAACGCCTTTTTAAGATTGTCCGTTTAATTGTTGTAAGAAGAATCTTTTTATATTTTAAAACTAGGAAAAATCTGTTTTTCCCCATTGAGAAACTGATATGATTTGTATTTGACAGTAATATGAGTTATATAGCAACTGATCATGTTTCCCTTTTTAATTGAAGTACAAGTAAATATACCTACACTAGATTTCTATTCATTTTGTATTTTACTTAAACATATATACTGGGATAATGCTTAATGAAACAAATTAACAGACATGTTTTTGAATATGCCTTTTTTTATCCTTAGGTTTTTGGTGCATTAGCATCTGAGCCTTTTAAAGTGAGTGATGGCTTTTACGGTACTGGAGAGACCTTTGTTTTTACGTTCTGTCCAGAATTTGAGGTAAGAACAGCTATTCCAATATTCAGTTTATAAAGAGTTGGCATAATGAGGGAACATGCACTTGGAGTCATGTCTGTGCCTTTTACTGAACACTTAGCACTTTTTTGATCATTTTGAGCTTCAACTTTTCTGTGGATAGAATAGGGACCATAACATGTAACAGAATTATTTAAAAATTAAGTCAGAATCATATGTACAGCACTTGGCGTGATGCCAGACACATCGTGGGCTCAGTAAGGAGTATTATTTTTACTATTCTGTTTATAGATTCTCATTGTGAAATTCCTAGAAACTTGAAATTACTAAGTAAGTTTAATGATGTAAGTAAGTCTTGAAAACCTAAGAAATAAATTATTTGAGTTTAAAGCAAAAGTGATTACCTAACTCTTTTTTCTTTGCTTGTGGCTTGACTTACTTAAATCAGGTGTATTCTAGTGCTAATAAGATCTAAAATGTAAAGGTATACATGAATTTTAGTGAATGTGTGACGATTTAAAACATTAAGTACAGTCCCAGCATCTCGGGGATATTAAGGGAGTGTCAAACCTTTCCTAAGAGAGGAAATTATAATCTTTAAAATAGGAATCAATGCCGTTGGTTTAAAAATAAAAAAGGGTGGTCTTCAGGAACAGTTTCTATAATGAACAAAATAGAAAGGATTTGATAACACAATAGAAGCTCTCTTAAACTTGAACTTAACTGGCTCAACAGAAAACCCATGATTTCCGTTCCTTTCATAAAACATGTCAGCTGACACCTACATACAGCTAACTGGAAGCTTGTAGCTGTTACAAAATCCTTAAGCTTCAGTTGTGCTTATTGTGAAACGTTTTAATGCTATTTCTACCTGATATCTGTAATAATGTAATAAATCAAATGTTTTCCAACTATGAAAAAGTGAGTGGCAAAGTTTATTTTATTGAAAATTATAATGAATATTTTGGAAAAGCTTGATAGTGGTAAGGTACTAGAAATTACCATTTGTATTAGGTTTAGGTGAAACTCCCATGAAAGGTTAGAAAAACATTTTAAGAATATTAATATCTAGAAGTTGTTCTCATTGCTCTTTAAGGAAGTTGAAACTGGAAACCATAAACATGTGCCCTGGGCTTATATAAGAATGGTGATAGACAAAGACATACCCAAAGCAACAACCTTGGCCCTATGTCAAAATACTGAAATATTATCGAATTAATGTACTTTTATGTTTAATATTAAAATAAAAGTTAA